GCAAGGAGTCTAAAGCTTTGTCCCACATACTTTGGACATGTTGCAAGGTGGGATCAGTCCTTGGAGAGGGTTGTCATGCTTGAGAGGGTGGAGGGACAGCACAGGGGAGGAAGACCCTCTATGAGGTGTATTGATTCAGTGACTGGGGTAATGGGGATAGGTGTGTTGAGTCAATAAGACTGGCATGTCATAGAGCAGGGTTTAGGGCTGTTGTACATAGGGTCACTATGAGTCGCAGGCGACTTGATGGCACATAACAACAAAACAACAATTAATGTTATAAAACAAAATGTCTATGAATGTATGGGGAAAAAACAGTATGATTTGTAGGCCTTCACTCCAAAGAAAAATACTTCTAAAAAATCCCACACCAATATCACATTCATGCAAATCTCGGAGGCCTTTTCTCTGAGCTTCCACTGCTCAGGAATTCTGTTCCCAGAGGATAGACTTGCAGTTTGAGGGCCTGGGGGCAGGGTGGGGGTGGCTGCCAACTTTGGAAAAGAAAGGCTTAGGAATGTTTTCTGTTGCCCTCTGCCGATCATGCGGGTCATTCACCTGGGCATCTCAGGGACTTGGATGAGGACGTCTGAGGTGTGGCAGGGTTACCAAGATGTGTGCCTATCAAGAAACTTGAGAAAACTGGAGCTGCTTCTCTTCTCCTCCACCCGCAGATAATTGCAGACTGATTTGAAGGAAGCTTGGGTGCCACAGAGTTCCAAGTATCTCTCCTGGTAGGGCAGTCTGCACAGAGGATAAGCTCTCACACCCTGCTTCATAATCTCCACCACAATGGCTGTGAGGTGTTTGAAGGGTACTCAATCCCTCTGATCTTCATTTCTTCAGCTCTAAACGAAAGTTGGTTTTCAAAGGTCTGCATGCTGTCAAGAGCGTCCAGTTCTTGGAAAAAGGCATCACACTGGGAAAGGTAGAGCATTCAGAGAAAGAGAGAAACTCAACAAGACAGACTGCCTCAGAGACTAACAATGGCGTGTCAAAGATGAGGAGGATGGCACAGAACAAATGAGGGTCATATTCGAACTTCCCATGCCTTCCACATGAAGATGAAAGGAACTGATGTCCAGAAAGAATGCATCACTGGTGCTCAGGAAAAAGAATCACCCCCACTGCCATCCTGTCAAATTGACCAGCCTGTTAACCAACTAACCAGTTGCCGGTGAGCCTGAGATTCCGGTGCTCGGCACCCTGGCTGGTTAACAACCAGCGCACCACTCCATGTCCAGAGCCACAGAGGGAGATACGAGAGAGAAAGAGAGGGAGGGAGGAAGAGATAATGGCACCCATGTCCCAGGTCTCTGTGCTGGACACTGGTGGCGAAGTCTCTGAACTTCTCAAGAGCAAGGTTTTCTCACTGGGGGTGGGGCGGGGAAGTGGGCCACAAAGAACAAATGGCCACCAGTTGGGGTGCTGGAGTCTGTTACTAGGTCTGCGGTCTTAACCCGGCTCCGCCCATCCTCCCTCGTCCCACCCCCCTACCTCCGCCCTCTAGTTCCTGACCTACCCCCAGCCCCCTTCTCCAGCCCTATCCCCACACTAATCAGCCCGCAGCCCAGGCGGAAACCAGGGCTGCAGCATCCCCTGGTGGACTTTCTGGAGAATGCCTCCAGCCCCCAAAAAAATTTCAGTTCTTTGCTATGCTTTCAAACAGGAGATCGCCCATCCTTCTCCAGCAAAGTAGATGGTACATTCAAATCACCAGAAAGCTATGGCCCTTAGGTTGGCAGCGCAACTCCCTAGAGACTACACCACCAGAGCTCCCCCGGGAGTTTCTCAAGCTAAATAATACACTAGCCTGTTGCATGAGTCAGTTCTGAGACCATGCACCCTATGTGTGTAGACAGGGTGACATTCCAAAACAGATCGTTACCTTTATTCCACCCCAGAGGCCTCCAGGCCTTAGTCAGCAGTCTAGCACTTAACCCTTTGCACCACCTGGGCACCAAAAGGCTCCAAAACTCAAAACTCCCCGCCATCATGTCCATTCCAGCTTTAAGCGAACTTCCTGAAGATTTCTGAAGCTGTAACTACAAGTAAAGGGCACTGTCGTCTTTGGACTGCCTATCTTTCTGCCATGGAGCAGCTGGTGAATTCGAACCACTTGCCTTTTGGTTGACAGCACAGCTTTTTACCATTAGGCCACTAGAGCTTCCTCCTGATAGCCATAGACCAACTTCCAATAACTAAGTGAAAGCAGAGTATGCATATAAAAATGATTTTAACGGTGTAACTCCATGTATCCAGAATATCATCTCAGTAGGTAATCAACAAAAAATTATTAATGAAATATTTTCATTTCTTTCTCATACTAAATAGACATCCAGTCCATGTTTTATACTTTTCAAGCTGAACAGTGTTTTTATTAGAAATAAAGCCAATAGAACTGTTGCCATGTAAATCTCTTCATAAGACAAAACCCATTGGGTCTCACGGCTGTACATGCTGACAGGAGGCTTCCTTAGCTTCTTTGTGGTTATTGGAACTATTTGCTTTGCATATGGTGTTTTTTTCTAGTTGAAAAAAACACGTTGACATGCTCAAATTTTCCCTACCAAAAAAAAAAAATTCCCTACCATACTTAACAGGTTTTCAGTAATGGAACTATTGTTGTTGTTGTTGTTTGGTGCCGTCGAGTCGTAGATGACTCATAGCGACCCTATGAAAGAACAGCCTGAGCACTGTTCGTACATAGTTTCCGGAGGCAAGCCATTTTGAAAGTGGATACTGCTCCTGTTTCCAGGCTTGATTTAGTCGGGAAGCTCCAGCCAATACTGTCCACCATGGGTACCCATTACCACGATTGGCACATCACTGTCAGTCTTCAGCATCACAGCAACCATGAGTTTCCTCTGTACAGCAACACACAGACCAGTGCTATACAACCTAGAAGAATGTTTGACAGGAAAACAATTTGAACCAGGCCGAGGGCTGCAGATGAAAATCACCCACCTTCGGCTTGGTAGCATAACTTCCTTTCCACTAGGCCAACATTGCTCTCTCTTTGTCGTTGTCGTTACTGTTGTTTGGTGCCGTTGAGTCGTAGACGACTCATAGCGACCCTATGAACTAACAGCCTGAGCACTGTTCGTACATAGAGTTTCCAGAGGCAAGCCATTTCGGAAGTGGATGCTGCTAATGGAACTGCTAGCAGTTTTTAAATTCAAATGTAAAGGTAAACAAATTTAAAATTAGTTCTATGGCGATATTAGTCACATTTCAGGTGTTTAACAGTGGCATGTTAAAATTGAGAAGAGAGTGCATCAGGATTGTATTCTCTCCATACCTATTCAATCTGTATGCTAAGCAAATGATCTGAGAAGCTAGACTCTATGAAGAGAAACGTGGCATCACAATCAGAAGAAGACTCATCAATAACCTGCATTATGCAGATAACACACCTTGCTTACTGAAGTGAGGAGGACTTGAAGCACTTGATGCAGAAGATCAAGAAATGCAACATTTGGTATGGATTGCATCTCAATGTCAAGAAAACAAATATTCTTACCCCTGGATCAATAGGCAACATCATGATGGGTGGAGAGGAGACTGAAACTGTTAACATCTTTATTTTGCTTGGACCCAGAGTTAACATCCACAGTACCAGCAATCAGGAAATAAGGAGACACACTGCACTGGAAAAATCTGCAGTTAGGGACCTCTCAAAATTACTGTGGAGTATTGATGTCAGTTTGAGGATTAAAATGTGTCTGACTCAGGCCATAGTCTTTCCGATTTCTGCTGTGCATCTGAGAGCTGGACAATGAATAAAGATGACAGAAAAAGAATTGATGCCTCTGAGCTGTGGTGTTGGAGAAGAGCACTAAACACCCCATGGATGGCCAAAAGAACAGATATGTCTTGGAGAGCGTGCAGCTGGAGTGCTCTCTGGAGGCAAGAATGATGAAGCTTTGCCTCACATACTTTGGGCATGTTACTAGTAGGGGCTAATCCTTGGAAAAGGATATGATGCTGAGAAGGGTGGAGGGTCGGCAAAAGGGAGAAAGACCCTTAACCCGGTGGGTTGATACAGAGACTGCTGCAAATTGCTCTTTTGTGTCAGGAAGTGTGAGGATGGACAGGATAGAACACGGTTCAGATCTTTTATTCATAGGGTTGTTGTTATACTTGACTTGATGGCACCCAACAACAACAATAACCACAACAGTGGCATGTGACTAGCGGCTTCCAACTGGACAGCACCATTCTAACACAAGCACATTCGTGGTAGTCAACAGTCTGTTCACACCTCCATAGGAAAACAAAATTGCTTGTGAACATCATTTCATTAAACCCTACTAGAGTTTCTTCAGGAAGCTCTGATGGTAAAGAGTCGTACTGTCAACCGAAAGGCAGGTGTTTTAATCCACCAGCTACTCCATAAGACAAAGAAGGGCTATCAGCTATTGTTTGACATACAGTCTGAAAATCTGTTGGAGCCAGCTACGAGTCAGACTTGACTCTAGGGCAATGAGGTGAGTTGAGGGGCTCTCAGCTTGAGCACAGACTTCCTGGCAGACTTTGCAGAGTCCTTGAGATGCTGAGATGTGGCTCTGCAGGTCTGGTTCAGGGAGTAGATTTGGGGAAGATGCTCAGCAGCACCTTGAGAACCACTGCCTGAGTTCAGGAACCCACCAGATGTGGTGGGAGGACCATCTATTTCCACAGAGCCCACTATGGATTAGAGGGAGGCTTATAGCCATAGAAAATAAGCAAGCCCTTGTCACTAAAAGAGTAGGTGACAATAAAAACAGTTGGCCATGGTGGGATTAAATATGCTGTTTAAAAGAAGTCAGGGTTCTGAGGCCTGGAGACAGGTGACTCAGCACATGATCCAGCAGTGGGGAGCGGGGGATGCCCATGGGCCGTTCCCATCCCTCACCGGCCTCCCTAGTGACCAGCCTCCAGAAATCCTCCCACACTGACTCCCTGTGAGGAGAAGGTACACAGGCACCTTGGTGGGATCCAAGTCATCTCTAGATCAGCTATTCTAAGGCTCTTGGGGCCTGGCCCCACCACCGGCGGCTGCAGTCCTCAATGGTACTCCGAAGCATTAATGTCCAGTTGTCACCTCTTCTCATTGGGGTGCAGCGAGTCACCTTGTGCTCCAAGGCCAGGATCTCCTCGGGAGTCTCCGGGGTGAGCCTGGCTGCCAAGACAGCTTCTGGGAATTTGGCTGCAGAGGCAGGGGCCAGGCAGCATCTGGGAATGCAACTGAGTAGACCGAGGAAGGAGGAGAAGGAGGGGGAGAAAGTGGAGAGAGGAGGCAGAGAAAGGATGGGTGGGGGAGGGATAAAGGACAGGGGAAGATAAGAGTACAGAGTGGCATGGAAGAGAGGGATGATTGGTACACCAAATGTAAAAGTCACTGGGTGGTACAAATCTTTCACACACTCAGCTGCTAACTGAAAGGTCAGAGGTTCAGGCCCACTCAGAGTTTTTCAGGAGGTATGCCATGTGACCTACTACCAAAACATTGGCCACTGTAAACCCTGTGTGGCATAGCACTCTTGACCACACAAGTTCACCATGAGCTGGCATCAGCGCAGTAACAACTGGTGAGGCTACGTCTTTGTGTTTCCTGCTTAGGGAGGAAGACCAAAACCAAACCAGGCCCACTGCCATGGAGTCAGCTCAGACTCAAGACCTTTCAGGAGAGATCACTACTTATCGATCTGTCTGGTAGATATCAGCTGGTAGATCTGAACTTCTGACCTTTCAGTAATACATTCCACCAGCTTGAGGAAGAATAAGGTCGCTAAAAGTCCAAGTCCCCAGGGATCAGGGTCCCCACAGCCATACCTTGATTGCTGCTTGTCAGTCTGCTGGTAATGGTAGCTCACGGTCACAGCTGAGTGAGGGCACAGCAAGTACTGGTTCTCATCCCAGCAGCGGGCCATGGTCTGGGTGATGGTCTCATCAGACACCGACTCGGATGTCATGGCCCCTGAAAGCTAATGGGATTGGGGGTCAGTTGGATCAGAGACAGTGTTGTAGGTGGGGACTAGGGAAAGACTGCTGGAAGCCCACTCTGTACACTGGATGGATGCACACTGTGACAGGTATGATGGCAACGTCATGACAGATAGACAGAGGCCTGAAGGCATCAAGGATCCACAATCAACACCCATGGTAGCAGCAGTTAAGAATCAAAAGAGTGTTGCACCAGGAAAATTTATTGTCAAGGAACTTTGCAAAGTGTTAAAGAGAAAAGATGTCTGTTTAAAGACCAAGGTGTACCTGCTTCTCATTCATTTCAACACTCTGTACACATTTGAAAGTTGGACAATTAATAGGGAAAGTCAAAGAAAGAATTGAAGCCATGCAGGCCAAATAAGGTAAACAATGACACAGGAAGGGACTCAGACCTTGGAGGACTCAATAGACAAGGTCACAAGGGCAGCATTTTCCCAGGGGTAAAACTCAGACGGTGGGAAGGGAGAGATGGAGGGATGAATGGAACAAGAGCCATGGAGATAGCAGGAGAGTGAAGATACATTGTCATAAAATCAAATATGTATAAATGGCTTAATGGAATACCAAACAGCTCTGTAAACAGTTAAAGGAAGTGGGAAGACTGAGGAGGATTTCCCTCAAATGTGGAAAATTTGTTTTTAAGTAGAATCAGCCTGCGTACAGTGTGCAAGCCAAAGGAGCAGATTCTAGCTCACCATAAAGAATCTGTAATGACCACAGGTGATTAGCTAGAATCAGGTCCCAGACCATGGAGGTCTTCAATGGTTGTACAATAACTCACCATTACCTGACTACTCTGAAATAAAAATTCTTTTCAACTAGCTTTTTACCACTCTAAGGAAATAAAATAAATTTCTCCTGAAAACAATATTAAGCAACTCAACAGGAACAATGGTCTCTACTCATTCTGGATGATGAGCAAGGTAACTTCCAGTTCCTATTATTATGACTTGTAAATAAAAACAGTGATATTATTGCATGGAGCTGTTTGCATTGTCAGGCAGTCTGAATCCACCAGCTGCTCTGTGAGAGGATGGGAAATCTCCTCCCGTGTGATTTCCTGCCTCTAAAAATATATATGTGCACAACAACATACAAAGTAGTACTTCAGCTGTCTTATTTGACTTAGATCTCATAAGAACCCTAAATGTAGTTTTCTTATCATGCCCATTTTATAGTTGAGAAAAATGAGGCACAGGGTTTAAGAAACCTGCCCAAAGTCTCACCAGTGGCTTGGAACTGAGCCTTATCTGACTTTAACGAGATGGTAAAGTGATTGAGATTGTTCACATTTTTGGTTTGCTTGGATCCCCAGTCAACACTCTTGGCACCAGCAGCAAGGAAATTAAAAGAAGTATTACCATGGGAAAGTCTGTGGTTGGAGACCTCTCTAAAGTGCTGAAGTGCAAAGATATCAGTCTGGAGACTAAGGTGCACCTGATACAGGCCATGGTCTTTGTAATCACTTGCTATGCATCAGAGAGATGGACAAAGAATGACTAGGGATGATAGGACAATTGATGCCTTTGAGCTGTGGTGCTGCAGAAGTGTACTGAATATACCACGGATTGCTAAAAAAACAAACAGGTTTGTCCTAGAGAGTGTAAAGCCGGGCTGTTCTTTGGAGGCAAGGATTCGGAAGCTTCGTCTGACATACTTTGGACATGTTGCTAAGAGGGACCAGTCTTTGGAGAGGGATGTCATGCTTGGGAGGGTGGAGGGACAATGCAGGAGAGGAAGAAACTTGATGAGATGGATTGATTCGGTGACTGGGATAATGGGGGCAGGTGTGTCAGAGATGGTGAGATTAGCATAGGATAGGGCAGAGTTTAGGGCTGCTGTATACAGGGTCGCTATGAGTCGCAGGCGACTCAATGGCACACAACAACAACTAACAACAAAATGACTGTGAAAGCATCTGGCTCAAAGTAGGTGTTCCGAAAATAGAGACTCCTTCCCTCTCACACATTCCAGATGCGCAGCCTGGTCCTGGGGCTGCACTCTGGTCCCCGGCATGGTACTACCCCAGCAGTGACTGACCATGCTGTGCAGCTCGTGGGGCAACCTCAGGCTATTAGTTTTCTCAAACTGCTCCATGAGGGCTTTGGTAGCTTTGCTGTCACCACCAGAGAGCAGCCAGAAGATCCTCTCCATGTTGTAGGGGACCTGGGCAGAAAGACAAGATTCTGGTCATGCTAGCCTCAGCCTCGTCTTGGCCTGCCCAACATCACCCGCAAGGCCTGCACCCTTCCCAAGGCCCCACCTGGATGTCCATAGCTGATGCCAAGGTGGGTGTGACAGCCTTGGACAGAGAGAAGTCCCCTTGCTGGACCACCCTGTGGATGATATCATTGCAGTTCACTGCAGCCACCAAGCGGACAGGCAACCCCATCTTCTGAGCAATGCACCCAGCTCAAGATAAAAGGAGAATAGTAACATCTTAGCCTGGCACTGAAGCACAGGCAGCAAAAAAGCCTGCAAACTAACAAGGCCTCATCAGAACTGAAAAAGTTTTGTGTTTTTGAAGTGTTTGTGAGCCAAAGGAAGTACACTACCAAGAAAATAAAAAGACAACTCAAATATTTTCATGAGAAAAATATTTACAGAGTTTGTAAATGATGAAAGGCATATCTAGAATATACAAAGGGAGCACTGGTGGTCTGGTGGGTAAGGAGTGTGGTGTCAACCCAGAGGCAAGTGGTTACAATCCACCAGCTGCTTGGCAAGCGAAAGAAAGATGGACAATCTCCTCCTGGGCAACTTACAGCCTCTAAAAAGCCTCTAGACAGTCAGTCATAAGTTGATTCTGACTCAATGATAGACAGTAGGACAAAATATATAAAGAACTTTGACAACGCAAAAAAAAAGGGACAATTAGATTTTAAAATGGTCAGAGTCTGAATTAGTGGTGGTAGTGGTAGTATTGTGTACTTTCAAATCAGAACTAATCCATAAATCTCACCAGTGAGTTTTAGAGGCAGTCAGCCTTCTCCCAAGGAATAGCTGGTGGATTTGAACCACATGCTTTTGGGATTGTAGCACAACTTCTTAATTAGGCAACTGTTGTGTACCATCAAGTTGGAACAGACCCATAGCTGACCTCCAGCAGGTTTTCAAAGGCAGTTAATTCTATGGGAAGAGAATGCCCATCTTTCTCCCACAGAGCAGCTGATGTATTAGAACTGTGTGCTTTGGCGATTGCAGCACAACTTCTAGCCACTAAGCTATTAGAACTTCCTTAAAGGGTCTGAATAAACATTCTAAAAAGCCTATGAAAACTGGAGAGACAGCTATGGGTTGGTGCTGACTTGATGGTACTCAACAACAGCTGTATGCATTGAAAAGATGCATGATGTCATTAGTCATTGCAGAAATGCTAATCGGAACCACAGGAAATACCACTTCACAGCCTGGCAGTGAGACACAGTGCTCAGTTACACAAGGTTCGCTCAGCTATGCACAGGATGGGCTGTGAGTCACAGCGAATCCACAGCACCTAAAAGCTACATGCCCAGAGCTCAAAGGCTGACAGCAATCCTCCAGGACAGAGGGAAATTGCCTGTTGGATTTCAGCAGCTGAAAGTTTCCATGAGAGCAGACTGTCTCAGCTTTCTCCTAAAGAGCAAGTGGCTGGTAGGTAAGAACTGCTGACCTTTTCGTTAGCAGCCTGACACATAAGCCACTTTGCTACCTGGGCTGCTTTCACCTACAGTTGTGGTTATGTGCCGTTGAGTCAATAGTGACCCACAGCTGCCCTCCCCCCTCCCCCAGTTGGCTTTCAGAGGCAGTTTAATTGCACAGGAGGAGATTGCCTGTCCTTCTCCCACAGAATAGCTGGCAGATTCGAAAAGCATGCTTTTAAAAAAAAAAAAGAAAAGCATGCTTTTGAGATTGCAATGTACCTTCTTACTTTCATCTATTAGGATGGTAGTAATAAAAAAACACATACACACACACAAACACAAACAACTATGGACTGTAATAAATGTTGGTGATGATATAGAGAAATGAGAACTTCTGTCTACTGCTGGTGGGAATGTAAGATGGTATAGCCATTTTGGAAAAAATTCTCAAAAAGTCAAGCACAGAATTTCTATATAACACAAAAATTCCATTCTTGGGTACATATGCAAGCAAAAGAAAATCCATTATCCACACAAAAATTTATATGTATGTTTAGGCAGCAATAATGGTAACAGTCCCAAACTAGAAACAACCCAAGTGTACATCACACATACAAAGGTATATTATTTGGTAATAAAATATAACCAAGTGTTGACACAAAACAAATCACAGAAAGAACCCTGAAAACAAGTCCCGTATGTTTCCATGTACAGATGTCAGGGGAGTGCTGATAAGAAGCTGCACTGCAATCCCTAATGCACCAGGTTTAAATTCACCAGCTGCTCCATGGGCGAAGGATGGGCAATCTACTCTCATGTGATTTACAGCCTCTGCAAACCTGTGGAGGGTCAGCTATGGGTCAGTTCCACTTGAAGGCACACAACACCAAAGTAGATGTCAAGAACAAGCAAATCCATAGAGACAGAAGTAAGGTCCGTGGTTGCCTCTGGCTAGGAGAGCTCGGATGGCCCTGGAGAGCAATGCATCTTGTGCTGGTGACTGAAAGGTCAGCAGTTTGAATCCACCAGCAGATCAAGGGCAAAAGATGGGTGGTCTCCTTCTGGCAAGATTTATAGCCCCAGAAAGGCAAATGAGTCTGTATTAGTCAGAATTGGTTGAATGTCAAGAAGTTTGAGTTTTGAGGGCTGAGAACTTGGAGGAAAACATGGGTGTCAGTGGGCCTGAGGTTCCTTTCTGGAGTGGTGACTGTGAGGTGTATGTAGCAGTGACACACCTAAGCAGTACAAGTCCAACAGGAGGCTTGTGTGGCTATGCGAGCAGACTCTGAGGAGAGAGGAGACTGAGGAAGAGGAGTGTGTCACCACGCCCTGAAGCCCCTGGGGACTGTGCTGTTGTTACAGATCTTGCCTGCCATTGATTAACAGCCCGATTACAACAGAACAAAACACCTAGCCCTGCACCATCCCCTCCCCACGGCTACATATCTGACTCTGACATCCATGAGGCTTCCACTGCCTCAGTTATGGAAGATTGCCAGGCCCTTCTTCCTAGTCCGTGTTACCCTGGACACACTGCTACAGCCTGTTTCAGTCCCATAATAGCATGCAAGCCTCCAATGGTGGATGGTGATGGCTGTGTGTCAGGCCTACTGCTCAGGAACCAACTGGGATTCCAGGTGTCCTGCATGGAAGGTGAGAATCCCATCACCGAGCCACACCTGCACTGTGCATGGTGAGGGAATGACACAGAGTGCCCACTGTGGGAGGAAATTCAATGACTGACCATACCAGTAACACTCAGGCTAGCACATGACACATTCCCCCAGAGTCACCGAGGCGAGTGATGCATGTGTTACAGATACAACTGTGATTATGAGGGTTTCCTGGCTCCAATATTTACGGAAGACTGCTAGGGGTTTCCTTCCACAAGACCATTGTGGATCTGAAATGCCAACATTTTGGTTATCACTCACTTGCTCACTCACTCACTCATTCAGAGGCTGCAAACCACATGGGAAGAGATTGCCCATCTTTTTCTTGAGGAACAGCTGGTGGATCTGAACTGCTGGCCTTTGGGCTAGTAATGCAACTCCTTACTCAGGAAAGTCCACTTACGGTTCCTGAATGACATAGCCAGTGCTTTAAATGTTCATTATTAACCAACACTAATAATTCACATTTGATTAACTAAAGATAACATAATGCCACGTATATGTACAGCACTTTACACTTACAAAGTCCATATACAAAGTCCACAGTAAACTTGGAGAGATATGATAAACAGTTCAATCTCCTTCATAATAGATGAAATGGCTCCAGGGGACCACCCAAACTGCTGAGCCAGCAGACAGGAGAATTGGGGCCAAAAGCCTGAATCCAACTGAGCTCATGTAACCATGGTGCATACAAATGTCCTCAGGGGTAGCTACCAACTACCCTGGACATGAGGCAGCTAGCCCAAGCTGGGCAGGAGGTCAAGTCAACAGAGGAAGGCACAGCCCTGAACACTGACCTCATCCCTCCATACTCTGCTGAGCAAATAAGACTGGTGGCCATTCAGAATGCCAGGCCTACCTCTCACCCTACCTGCAGCAGGAGTTGGTAAGTCCCCTTAGGAAGCTAAGCTAGGGGGCAGGTTTTCTCGAAGCTTCTTCTAATAACTTCCCATCACCAAAGACATCGCTGCTGCATTCATTCAGCCAAAGGGTACCGCAATGCACTGGGGAATTTATTCTTCCTCTAATGTTTGTTTCTTTTTTAAATATATTTTGTTGTTGTTACACATTTACCCTTCTTCTCTTCCCTATCCCACTCCACAATACACCCCTTGTTCCAGACTGTTCCTATACATATAATGCATAACCATATATTCCTTTCGGACAGTTCTTGCCCTCATCCATTCTATTGCAGTGTTCATTCTCTATCCATTCTTTCCTCATCCTCCCTCTCCCCATGTCTGTCTGGTTTTGTAACAGCAATGTTATGCAATATTTGTTCTTTTGTGACTGAGATATTTAACTCAGCATAATGTCCTCAAGGCTCCCCCATGTTGTGTAATGTTTTTCTATTTCACTGTTTTTTAATGCTGTGTAGTATTCCATTGTGTGAATATACCATAATTTCTCTATCCATTTGTTTGTTAATGGGCACTTGGATTGCTTCCATCCCTTTGCTATTGTAAATAACACAGCCAATAAACATGGGTGTGCATAAATCTGTTTGAATGACAGTTCTGATTTTTTTAGTTTATTTTCAGCTTTTTTAGAAAACACCAGATCACCTTCCAAAGTGGTTGCACCATTTTACATTCCCACCAACAGTGATTAAGAGTTCTAATCTCTCTATAACCTCGCCGGCATCTGTTGCCTTATATTTTGTTTCTTATTTTAAATTTGAATTATAATTTGAAAGTTTAGAACTGGTTTTCCCGTTAGCCACTGACACACATTTTATGGCTTTAAAGACAACACACATAAAGGAACCTCACTCTTGCCTTCATCCCTGTGACTCTCATTTCCAGTAATCCTTTTGTCCTATCCTTCTGAGCCTTCTGAGCTTGATCCTATGGAAAATGCTGTCCTTTGGGATGGCTGCCAATTATCTACAGAGAGAGACTCTCCCTGGCACAAGTTACAGGCTTGTTTACTGTTTGGTTCAAAGTTGAGCAATTGCTGTTGTTACGTGCCATCAAGTCGCCTGCAATGTACAGCAGTTCTGAAGCCTGCCCTGTCCTGAGCCAGTCTCACTGATTCCAACACACCAACCCCCACTGCCCCAGTTACTGTGTCAATCCATCTCACTCTAGTCTTCCTCTCCTGCACTGTCCCT